TTGGGCCAAGAATCCCCAGAAAATTGCTGGAGAAAATTTAGAAAAACATGGGCAGGTCTCAAGTAATTCTTGATTTTTTGTGAGATTTTTTACAATATTTTTTTGGCACTGTTTGGGGAATAAAAGACCAGGGAACTGTGGGCAGGCATAGCTATATTTTGTTCTCGGTTGCAATGGGGACCTTGCAAAGGTATGTTTTCCCCAAGAATGGTATTAAAAAGGTACCCCCCTGTTTTCCATGGTATTTGAAAGGTTTTCTCATTTTGAAATCAGTAATATTTTAAAGCTTTTCTCAGGGTTACAAGGTGGGTCTGCTGATGGGGGTATTTCATTTTGCTTGTGTTTTCGGAGATTGCTAGTTGTACTGTATTGACTACCCGGAACGAAGGGTTTCAATTGCACGTATTGTTTAACAGCACACCTCACCGCTCACCTGGATTTTGGCAGAATTTATGAATGGAGATGTGTGATAATCCCTGATTTTTTTTAAAGCGAAAACATCATGCCTGGTACTTGTACAACGTGGTGCGACTGTATTACCATCGTACAATGTTAGCCTACGGTGTAGCCCCCACTGAGATTTACTAAGTTAGGTTTAGTGAGGTGGGAGGTTGGTATTTTTGCAACATTCACCTGGTGTAGAACCAACTACACCACGAACCCCAAATGATGCCTCCGAATTTGCTGTCCTCCCATCCACCCCGAAGCAAGCCACGCAAGTTTCTTAGAATGACCCTGCCCAGTCCTCTTTGCATCATGGCGGCGTCGGGCCTCCAGCGAGGCGGTAGCTTTCACCAGTGTCAAATGCCGCATTACATCACATTCAGGGATCTGCATCCTCGCGACCTTCTGGATGACTGGCCTCTCCTCCCCCCGGCTGCTCGCAACCAGATCTCTAACCAAATAACCAACGATCCCGGTGTCCTACTTCATCTAGAACATGCCTTTACCAAGCTCCTAGATGGCACACCTGAGGCATTAGGGGGTGTTTTGTGGGTGTTGCCAGAGCACAGGCCAATTACCACTTTTGAGGGGGGCATGTCAGGGCTGGCACTGGGGAGCTATTGACGCGCAGAGGGTGTGTGAGATTTTAGGGGGACTAGGGTGATGTCGATGAACGTGCGGTGGTTGATTCCTCTGATGAAGACGAGACCAGTAGTGTTGAGGAAAGCATTGGATCAAATTCTCCTGTGAGTGAGGAAGAGGAGAGGAGACGGTGGGCCGCTGCGCTCGGAAATGGACCGGCCCCAGCCGTAAAGGTAGTACCGCAAGAACGGAGGAGACAGTAGATGAAGCTCCAGGTATGATCAAATTGTGATTAGGATTCTGTGTGATTCCGGTTGGCGCTGAAGTAGGGGGAAGAAGAAATGAGGTGGAATAGACGCCAGGAAGGGGGCTATTAGTATGCGGAGGACAAGTATGAGTTTACTGACTGCGGCGGAGGAAGAACGTATGTACTCCTGCCTACATTCTAAGGGTGGTTCTGACTTCCCCGATAGGGAAGGCTGAGTGCTAGGTAAGGTGTTCGCTCCCTCCTCCCCTCGATATCGATTACCCCGCCTGGTAGCATCCCTGGAGCAAATCCCCTACAAAAAAATAGACGATCGGGTGTGCATCATTCTACAAATTTCGACCTATCGTGGCATAACTCTACACCAATGTCCTCGGATACAGAAGCCTACGCCCATGATCTGCATCGTGCTCAATGAATGGAGATGATCTTCTCTCCTATCACTTCTACACCGGAGACTCAACGTGTCGTTAGGACAATTCTACGTGGGGAATATGAGTCGATAGTCAAGGGGGCAGAGGAAGGTAGTAAGTCGGTGCAAAAGTATCTTGTTGCTACTGATTTGAGTGGGGAGGCCCAGCATGCCCTGGAGTGGACAATCGGGACGGTTCTGGGAGCTGGCGATACTCTGATGGCCATATATGTCATCGATCAGGGTACGGTGGAAGATGGCGGTAAGATTGTTCCGGATAACAAGATGGCGGGAGAATTGAATAGCTAGGCTGCCGCCATGGGAACCGGCCTTGCGGCTATGAACATGCCTCATGCAACCGGGACACCTGTAATGGTTTCCCGGGAAAAACTCAAGCACTAAAAGTTTGCTAAAGCCAACGAGGTTCTTCGCTTCTCTTCGCTACCCCCTCGTATCCCATCAATTAGATACAGTACCCGTGTTAGTGCACACATCTCTTCCTACGTCCTCTTGAAAAATCTTTCTATTTCCTTATCAAAACATGGCGCCTACCGACCGCTCCGCATTCCGGAATGCCTTTATTTATGATTCTAAGAATCGTAGTGTAGTCTTGGGAGGTCTCTGGGCCGCAAAAGGCATTACGAATGCTAATCTCTATAATATAGTGGAGACTTTCTGTTCGGTAGAGGACACGTACTATTCCTACACGACGAGAACGAGGAAGTGGTCCAAAGGAATGCACTGCAACTCCAACCAGGGAAATATTTTGTTTTTACCAATGGTAGGTTTCTTCATTGCTTCCATTATTAGCATTTACTTACCGCAGATAGGTTCTATCATCATTACTGACGAAGTCCCGTTCCGTCGTGCCGGGCAGTCATTGGAAACCGGAAGTCGGGACGGGACATTTTGCGCCGCAGTACGAAGCCGCGATCGGCGATGCGTTATATCAGACAGTCAGGTGAGGCATGCCAATGTTGGCAGATGGAGAAGCTATGAGGCCTGTCACGTTTTTCCCCTTGCCTACAAAGGGAAATGGAAAGAACTTGGGTTCGATAGATTGTTCGATCCCCTCATCAAGCAACCTGACGGGTATTATATCAACTCTGTACGGAACGGTATCTTGCTCCGCGCCACCATGCATCGTTACTTTGATGCGTATGAGGTAACCATAGACGTTGATGTATGAATGGCTAGATCTTCAAGTTTTCGTAGCTAAAAACCGGGTAGGATAATCACAAAATTGTCTGTTTGATACTCGAGCTCGATACTCCTGGAATCGCCGGTCGTCCCCTTGGCAAGAGGTTCACTAATCACCCACTCCGGCCGCATGATGAACTCCTACGCTGGCACTACCGCCAGGCTGTGCTTTCTACGGTGATCGGGGCCTGACTAGCGCGGAAACGAAGGGGGGATGGTGAGCGGATCGGGGGGTTGAAGGGGTGATTTTATCTCCATCCAGTCTCCTAGTGTTGTATTGGAAAGGTCAAATGCCGGGGCTGTTGAGTTACGGTGGGGCAACTACCTTTCTGGAAGGCCTGAATTCCCTGTGCAATTGTCCTTTCACGAATGTCTTCTTTCCATACTTTAACTCGACCTATAGTGGAACAGGCTGATACTTTTTCTTCATGGGATCGTGGCTTTTTCACTCTTTATCATCACCTTTTTCAGCCCCGCCCGTACGTCCCGCTTCCCGATCAGGTACGTTAGCTTAAACAAAAAAAAAAGCAATTGCAATAATTTTTGCTTTTGAAACCTTGTTAGCTCAACTCGCTATATGTTACCAGAAATAAGTCGAGGTTAAGGGTGGAGGCCTAAACTGTTCACCACGGTTTTTATGCTTATATAATCACGGCTTACCCGGTCGCCAGTTGATGTTTGTATGATCCGGTTTTTTTTGTCACCTTGCAACCTATCCCATAACTCTCCATCGCAACCATTCCTTCTACCCTAGCACAAACTTTCCTCCCTTTCCATCAAAGCATGTCTGTGACAGATGAAGATAGTCTGCCGGACGCACCGCCCACTGATCGCTTAGCATGGCGTGATACCTACATCTACGCTTCCGACAGTCGTGATACTATGCTCGGAGGCCTCTGGGCCTCTGAAGGTATTACCAACGCCAATCTCTATTCCATGTTGGAGATTATCAGTTCCTTTACCGATACTTTCCATCTATATGACGACCGCAAACAGTTGGTTGGGAAGGATGGGCAACAGCTTCGACCAGGCAATTACTTTGTTGTCACTAATGGTAGGTTTCTTCTTTGCTCCCATCATTGGCCGCTACTCATTGCGAATAGGATCCGTCAGTGTCGCCGATGAAGTCCCACTAATTTGTGCGGTTTCGTTGCCCTCCGGGACTCGTGTTGCATCGTTCCGCGATGCTGTGTTCCAGCGAGATAAGCAATGCGTTTTAACCGGCAAACAGGCGATCCTAGCTCATGCCGGCAGGTGGAGGGGGTTCGAAGCTACTCATATATTTCCTTTGGCATACGAGAGGCAGTGGAATGATTGTAACCTCAGTCGTTTGATCACCGTTCCCCCTGCCAATGAGTCCCACGGATCCATCAACTCGGTCCAGAATGGGATCATGCTCACGTGCGAGATGCACCTGTTCTTTGCTTCCTATGATTTGGCAATTAATCCTGATGTATGTAGGGCTGGATATTCAAGGCTTCGTGGCTAATAATTGTATAGGATAATCACAAGATCGTGTGCTTCACATCTGATCTGACTGACTATCACATCGCCGGTCGTCACCTTGACCAGACGTTTACCGATAACCCACTCCGGCCGCCTGATGACCTCCTACGCTGGCACTTTCGCCAGGCAGTCCTGGTTAATATGAAGGGTGTTGGAGAGCCTACTTTTGAAGATGACTTCCCGGCTGGCTCAGACGTGGTGGGCGAGATTATGAGAGGCCCAAAAGCTGGTGAGAGAATGGAGTTTGAGCTATTTAGCCGTTTCAATGCAATGGTCGCCTCCTGAGCCAAGAGTAGGCGGCCGGGTGATGTGTAACTAGGGAACTGCGGTGTTTTATGTAACCACGGGATTCGGCACTGATGTTTGTTCATCAATTCTCAGCAATCGGGTGCACTCTGAGGTTCTATGTTAACCCACATTAGGGATTGAAACCCTTTTGATAGATTATGGCTGTTGTCTTGCTTAAACAGGATGGAATGTAGAATGGGTGTTATTTAGAGCCGTGAAACGGAATCAGGGGCTGCTTCGATATTTGTGGAGAATAAGGATAGCTGCCTGCTTAATAAATGAGGTGCTGAGAAGAAGTTCTTCATGGAGCTCTGTGATGACATACTCGTCGATACAGTCGTCCTGGCGAATTTTGAGTTTTTCTCATCCATGCTTCGGAGTCTAAAGATCTCTGACAGAGATGGGTATCCAATCGAAATGGCTGGAAGGATGTTAGTACCTTTGAAGCAAGGAATTCTCGGCAGGCGCAGGCCTTCCTGATCGGGAGGGGTACCTCATGTGGGTGAGGTACCGGCATTTGAAGGTGGAGCTTTTGACCCAGTACGGGAATGAGCTTTATTGTCTGGTTAGCTTGTTGTGGGGGGATGAGACGAGTATGATGGAAGAGTTTAAACACCTAGGCAAGATTAGTGTTGGCTGGGCTGAGGAGGGTATCATTGAGAAAGTGGCGCCGGAGGGGGTTGCTGTGAATATAGAGAAGGTGCAAGCACGCGTCACAGCTGTGACCCTAGCGGTGGAGGAGGCGATGCCTAAGAAGGTGTGCGCGGTCAATGAACCACCAGTTCGGGAGATCAGGATCCAAAGGTATCATGGCGTATTGGCGGTTTCCAAGCCGGTCTTGGTGTTGGAAGTTGAGCCTCCGTTTTCTGCCGACTTGCAAAGTCATGCGTATGCCCTCTACGACGCATTCCACTCCCACCTCAACCATAGCGAAGTCGTCCACTGTCATTTCCGCTAGGATAGTGTCTTCCTCTATAGGAATAATGGGGGCCATCGGTCCTACGAGTGCAATCCCGAACCCCACGGAGGACAGCCCCATCAAGGAGCCAACACCTGCCACCCTCCCATACCAGAGACAAATAGAGGGAGGCGACATCTAATACTACCTCTGCCAGCGCTAAAGCACCCGACACAACCTTCCGAGAGCCCGAACACCACCGCACCCCTTCCCTTCCTCCCCCTCCCTGTCACCCTCCGGATCCCAAGTAACGCATCCTCATTCCCATTCCCCCGCGGCGTCATAGCTGTGGCGGTCAGCATCACTATTATTCTGTAATCGGGGATCTACCTCTTCGAACTCAGTCTCGCTCAGAGGGGTAGGAGGAGGCTGAGGGTTCCTAGCAAGACACCTACGCTCTACCTCCCAAGACGACGGTCCCTCCACCCTCGCCGTTAACGGAGCAATTACCACCCGGCATGGATTCACTGACTCCTACCAGCTACCCATTACTTAATTTCCTTCCCCGCTCTCTCGTTAACAGCAGTATGTATAGGAACATTGCACGCACATCCTCGGCCCTGGAATCCCAGTCGTTACACTTCATTGCGTTGAACAACATCTCTCCAGAGCGGTTTATCCAATTCCCGCTCCTAGGCTCTTGATACTGTGGACCATGCTTTGAATTCGACGCCTCCATGTTCGCCCGCAGGATTTCGCAATCTTCCGGTCAACACAGAGCTTTAAATCTGAGTGCCTAAGATGTCCAGCTAGGCACATCTGGTCCGTTTTCGACAAGTCACAGGATGTTGAGGGCTGCGCTGAGGCCAGCCAGCCATGTTGAATGAGCAGAGTGACGTACCGGACATGCGTCTGTTCCGGTAGCGGCAGTGGCAGTGGCGGGGTTGAGATTTCCTTAACTGGGCATTTTTGTGGGGTTCGTGGGAAGCGTGCGGGGTTGAAACGAAGCCGCGAGGTTTCTCCTGATAATAAGGCCCAATGAGGAAGGGTTAGAGGGTTTGAGACTTAACTTTTCCCGCTTGGCATGGTGTTGCTGGTGAGCTATCACAGCCCCGGGAAGGCTATTTCACCTCCCGATTGAAAAGACCGTCAATTGTCCCCCTGAGTTGGTATTTTTCTTTCTATTTCAATTTTTATCAAAACATCACAAGAATAAACTATCGCCAATAAGGTCCACTCTGCAAGCACCACCACCGCCCCTGTCAACATCGCTGTGTTTTTACCCCTCCAGCTCCCGACTCAGTTCCATCTGACCTAGCTGGATCTTCCTCTCCCCAACTCCTTCCTCCTATAACCCTAAAATCGAACAATGCCCTACCTAACATATTCCTAAATAGGTACTGGGGCAAGCGTGACACAGAACTCAAGCTTCCCACCAACAAACACCTCTCTCCCAAGCCGACCTAAGAACGCACACAACTGCGGCCTCTAGCAGCACCTTCACGGTGAACTCCCTCTGGCCAATTAGTGAAGCTCAGGACGTCTCGGGAGCCCGGCAAACTGCATGCTTCGCGAACACAAAATTTTCAGAAAGAACTATGAGGCCACTAATCCGTTCCTGCGTAAGTTGAGCAGGTACTGTGTTCATAGCATTTCCGAGGACAACTTCCCTACTGCAGCACAACGGAGGTTCACCGCTGATGGCTTCGCAGCTTTGGTTCGGCCTATTGCGGATTTGTATCAGCTACCTGAGTGGCTGACGGAGTTGTCCAAGGTTGCAAGGCAGGGCTCCTAGTGGGGTTGCAGATGGCTGTTCGGTGGATATGTTTCCGGGAGATGGGACAGGCGGTGGATGGGCGCGATTAGTACGTGGCTAGAGTAGGGCTGACATCACGCTAGCCGGATAATAAATTCGTTAATCCCGCCACACCCGCAGCGAATAAGGTGGTTTGTTCTACGGCTGGCATGCAAGCTATCATAAACTTAAATAATTGAACCCTGTACTATGTCATTGGAGTTGGCTCCTATGGTAAGGTCTGGTGTTTTTCTGTTTTCATGTTTCTCAGAGGGGCCAGGCAGCTCTTTTTTGCTGCGATTTCCTCCCCTTTTCCGAGGTAGGGAATTTTCAACTGCATCTTATAATACATAGTTCAATTCTTCAAGATTCCAAGGTATTGACTAGCGAGTGATAATTTATGAGAGGAACGAAATCCTTGGAAAACTTTGAGAACCTGGCTAAAAAAAAAGTATTTAATATAAACGAGCAAGGGTAATTATAACACAGACGCCAGTTAAGTTAACAGGACGGCCAAGCAACAAAACCAACAAACCACCAAATGCAGCCGCCATGCCCTCTCAACCCCGACTCATAGAATTCAATTCCCCCATGATTATTAGCTCCCCACACCTCCTATCACCCCTTCTGATCACATAATCAAAACCCGCAAGCAGCAATATAGCCAGCAGGCAGTTTCCCATTCCCATTTATCTGCTTTATAAGGATCGCCACACAGCTAGTCCCCTGCAGAACAAACCCTGTCCAAGCCACTCCCTCCCAACTTTCGCACAAATCCGGCGTCACGCCAGGTGGTGATCCCCCCTCTTTGGCACTTGTAACTGCATTCTTCTATATCTTCACATCTGCAGGGCAAATGATTCTGTTAGTGCTGCTGGATGCTGCTTCCTTGCCCTTGCCGGTTATTCTCTCATGTGCCTTTTCGAGGGGTATCCCATCACAGCCAGGGCATTGAGACCGATTCGTGGAGGGGATGTCGGTCAAAGGTGCCCAGCAAAAGCCAGGATTAGTTGTCCATGATGTAAAGTATGTTTATGGCGTTTAAGCTGAGTTGGCTAATGAGTATTTCTACGGTGGTCCTGTATTCCTTGTTTATTCAGATTGCAAGGAGTCAGGTTGAGGGAGAGAGTGAGAGAAACCCAGGAGGTTAGGTTTCCCAACTCTATTCCACCCAGCAGCAAGCTTCTTGAACACGGGGGGCACGTGAATAGCCGGTACAAAAGAACCATGAGAAGTGACTCACGAAACCCACAACAAAACTAGGCGCAGCCAAATAGAGGCAAAAAAAGGTAATCCTCTTCCGGTAGATGACTTCTATAGCAGGCGGTTGCGGGGGATAGCTCCCAGCTGCATTCACAGAGTGGTTCCGGGTGCTAGTATTAGGTGCTCCCTCCTAGTAACCACTGTATTCAAGCGGTAAGGTGCGGTAGCTAAATTAATGCAAATGGTCGAGAAGGTGATGTTGCTATCCCTTACCTCGTAATCACGGCAGGCGCTATTCTACCGCTTACCGGAGGTGGTTACCAACAGTAGTGGTACTCGGGTACAGGGGTAAGTACGGCGACGTGCCACAAAATGTCTGAGATTATTGCCTATTCTGGGTGTCGCCGGACTTTTTCCTCCTTAACAAAAAATCCGCCCAGAACACGTTTCTTTGGTGTAGAACCCTAGTTACCATATATGGGTGTCGCCCGACTAACCGCACCCCCCGAGTACACTAGGTAGACCTTCAGCCCTTGTCCAGACTACTAAGTACTAGCCTACTGGGGCAATTGTGATTAAATGTGCACAGAGGATGAGGCTCCGATCATGACCATGCTGAGTGTTACTCGGTTGACAGAAACGAGATTTTCTGAGGACTCTTCAGGACAGCCCACCACCCACCGGAAAAACAAATACCCTTGTCG